CATAATAGACAGAGATACATATAATATCTTGAGAGATTTAAATTTCAATTGAGTGCATTGAGATCTTGTAAACACAACTGTTATTGAATATAGCGTATTTCTCCTCCTCTACCCATGGTTTTTGCCCGTATTAGGTTAACACATAAATTTTGGTATTTATTTTCTTGTTTATTTCATTATCGTCATTATCTTGCGATCCAAATTCATAACAATTATCACCTAAGTCCGAATTTTTTTCAACCGCTGAATTGAAACGAACAAAAGATTTTGATCATCCATTGGGGCTTCAAAGACATCAACCAGTCTCAATCATGAATATCGCTATGTTCTACTAATTAAAACGATGTAGTCAGAATAAAGAAATTATAAGAACATATAACGCAGTCAAATAGTGCTAATCCTTCGCAAGAATAACAAATACTTTACAAACAAGACTCCTTAATACGTTGAATAATGTCGAGACTTAATTCTTGGTCAACAAATCATTGCACAATGTGCTTTCGGCGAACAAAATCTATCCTTTCGGCTCAAGGCTCAGTGTTCAGTAGCTCGTAGATGAAATAGTTAGTTGCGTTCCCAGGATTTTGAATCAGATCATTGGTTTGACTATCTACTAAAGGCATTCTTGCAAAATGGCACAAATTGACCTTAACTAATTAAGTACATAAATTAAAAATATTCAAAACATATTAAAATTCAAGAAAATCGTGCTACAATCCTTTTGCATCATGATAAGTGCATATTATGCACTTATTTGGGCTCTCATACTTGTTTATATATTGATATATTGAGTAGACATCTACCTACTTTAGTGTAAATATGATCAAATGTAGGTAAAATCCCAATTTGGATGCATTTAGATGCAATTGGTGTGAAAAAGTTGAAATCATAGCCTAGATGGAGTTGATTGGGATCAATTGATAACCAACAAGATTGCATTTGACCAATTGGAAGAATTAATGAAGAAATCGGCGATTCATAAGTTTCGGGGTCAAATTCAAGTATTGGCAAGTTTAGGGACTAAATTACAAACTTTCATAACTTGTGACAAACCAATTTTGAATGATTATGAAGTTTTGAGGACCAATCTTGTAGATATTGGAAGTTTCAACATCAAAATTGAAGTTTAGGATGAAAAATGACCAAAGTTGGACGAAGCTTGAAAAGGGACCAAGGCTGCACGAAATATGTTGAATGGGGACCAACTTGAATGAATCTAGAATAGAAAGAAATGAGGTCTTGAGATCGCAAGACTTATAAACATACGATAGAAATGAGTTAATCTCCATGACTTAACGTTTTGGTTTATACCTATACAATCGAAAATGTTTATACCACGCGATAACCTGGTTATATAAAACAATCTCGTTTCCTATTTTGAATCAACCTCTTTTGGGAAATGAATTAGGACAAAGATTTTGAGCTAATCTTGGGGCCTATAAATAAATTTTTTCATCCAACGATTCAAGGAAGCTTGTGGGGATTAATCATAAACAAACTATTCAAGCCAAAGGAGGCTCTTAGGGTTAGAAATTCATAAATCTTTCAAGGTAGAGAGCCAATAAAGGTTTGATCTACAATTCACATATTCTTTTGAAACTTTGAAGAAGCTTGTTAGAAAATGCATTCGTATACACTTTCATACAATAATTTCTTGGGTTGAACAAGAAGAAGAAGAAGAAGAATAGAAGGAGGTTGATCAAGGAGCCATTGAAAAGATTCAAAACTTTTAAGATTTATTTCCCCCTTCTTTCCATTTTTTCATACAGGGTGATGTTGTATCAACTATTTTGTGTTCTTGTAATTGCTTTGATGATTGACTAATTGTGTAGGTGCTAGAAGTTTTGACATTTAATTTTGGATTTTGATATTTCGTTGTATATAATTGTTATGAACTTTTTTCAATTAATTGATCACTTATCTTTTAATTTCTATTTACATTCAAAAAAAAATGAATATGAATTTGGTATTTAGTAGTAATCATTATAAAGTACAATAGGGAATACATTTATACATCTATGTTTTTCATGATCGTTTTGAAGTTCTTGTCATTGAACTCATCCTTGTATGCTCGCATCTTTCATAGAGACATAAGTAGATTGTATGGAGAGATTATTAATTGAATTAGGAACATTGATCTTCATATTTGAACTTTAGCGAACACATCATCTCCAAAGCAAAAGTGTACTAAAATTTAAGTTACTTGTACATTTGCTCTTAAATACACGTGGGTGTTTTACTCGCTTACTTGCCTAAATCGTTGACCCGACCTAAACCAGTTTGGGTCAATTTGGATTAGTTTTTTATACATTTTCAGTCTGGGTCAAACAGATATATGAATAAATTTGGTCGGTTAGTTCAGGTTCTAGGTTGATTGCAACCCCCGATTCAACACAATTTTTTGTTAAAATTTAATCCCTCAAGTAAATTAAAATCTTAAAAGAAAACCAAACAAATACAAATTATCAAAGACCTACATTGAAGCCATTTTTTATTTTTGAGATTGTATATGTATAATTGTTGGCTTGGGTTTGACATAATTAGCTAAGATTTGAAATAAAGTTTTATAAAAATCTACGTGCTTCTATATTGGATTTTGGTAATGTTGTGCTTCTATATTGAATTTTTGTAATGTAAAAAATTTGTTCTTTGATTTGGGTCAAAGCCAAAATTGATTTAAGAATCGGTATGGTTAGGCATTTAACCTTAAGTCAGTTTTGGTTCCAAGTTGGGTGGGTTCTGATACCAAATAAATTTGGACGATGATGTTAAACCTTTTGTTGGATTAATTGTATTGACACCACAATTGTTTGGCTTGACCTAAGAACAAATTGGGACCACTATAAGTAACCATTAACCTGTGTTGCACATGGTCCGTTCATTGGTTGGACGGCCCTTTATGAGTTCATTTCCTTAATTTCATAAATAAGCCTCTCTATTGAGGAAGAACCTGTGTATGCAACAGAGAGAACAGAAGCAATTGTGTCCTGTGCAATTGAGAGATTTGCTTGGTCTCTTCCTTATTCTCTTCTCCCTTTATGTTATTGTAGCCACTATATTATCCTTTGTCGTTTATGTTATTTGGCAACCACGAGTGAGGTTTGGATTTGGGTCGAGAAATTAATTGGTTGGTGTTTGATATGTTGGTTGAAATTGAGGTCGATTTGCACAATTGAAGATCTTGATGTTAATTTTCGAGAAAAAAGGGTAAGAGAGCTGTTAGGTGTGCAATAATAGTGTTGAATTTGTGCAATAAAGGGGTAAAAACTGACTGTGCAGAGAAGGAAGAAAATCTTTTGAATTTTTTTTGATTGCTTCTAATTTCTGGCCACTCCACAAACATGATAAGAGAAACAAAGACCACATTCCAACTTAGGACAACAAGGAGCACCCTATATGTCATCGCGTGGTGACACGTGGAGCTCAGACATGATGAAGTGTGAGCACTATGTGTAGAAGAGAAGGCGGTGCGTGTGGGCATGTGGTAGGGATTTTGACGACGGTCTTCAAAGACAATGTTCTCCTTGAAGTTTTGGAAACCCTGTGGTGGTGCTTGTTTTCAATTTTTGGCAATGTGGTTCTGGATGATTTTGCCCTTGAGTATTCAAGGTTGAGTGCTATTTCTTTGGTTGTTGCAGTTACTAAATGCTTTAGGATGAATAATGGTGGCCTTAAAGTAGCAAATTTGCATATTTCCTTATTTAAAAATCCACATATTTGGTCTGCCCGATTTTTAATGGAAAATAAGATTTTTCGATTTGACAACAGAAAATGAGATGAATTTTGGTTCAACAAAAGTTTCCAAAAGCTATAGATGTCAATTTTAATAAAGATAAATAGAAAGATAAGGTGAGAGGGAAGAGAAATGTTTTCAATGGGTCTAGTTATGACTTGAGTGGCGTTTATTGATAATAAACTTGATTACTGCTTTTGCATCCATGTAAAATTCCATTTGCATGAATGATTGCTTGATTCAGTTCATTATTAAATGTTACATTTCACCATGTTTGATGTGTACTTTTTGCATGTATAGTGGTTGGGAGGGATTATTATTGTGATGATTGATACTTGGTATGTTCTCATTTTAGTAGGTACATTAGCAATAAGTATGTCAATTGATAATATAGAGCATAGATGCATGAGGGTGCACTGATAGTATGTACACGGGGTTGTAGAGAGTAACATTTGGATCACGAGATGTGATATAATTAAATGTTTGGAATCCTCTATCTATTAAGAATACTAATCGGGTGGAGTGAGAAAGCCATATTTCTATCACCTATATTAGGAGGAGACCCATTATCCATCTAAGTTGAGAGAGGTGAGATAGTGATAGAGGAATCTATTGTGGTTTACGAGTTAGGTATGATGAATGACCAATATAGTAATTATGGTTGGCAATAAGAGGATATATGGGTTCTTGAGATACGAAGTACACGAAATGTGATACAATAATTGTGGTGACATCTTATCTTGGAGTCATTTTAATGCATTGGTTGTATATGTTGACCATTTTCTTGACTAATTTGGTGTTAGCATTTATGTTCGTTGCATGTTGAACATGTTGAAAAGATCCGTATATTATCCTACTTGGTTGGTGTTTGAAACTGAGCCCGATTTGCATAATTGAAGAACTTGGTGTTAATTTCCGCGACACGGGTTGAGCCCCAAATTGACCAAACTCGATCCACACACATTCCTACTCTTAAAAATAAGAAGTTTCATTAAATGAACATATATATATCGTAGAACCAATAGCAACATATCATATTACTAAATCACCAAAAACAACTGTTGAAGCAAAAAACATAATACAATCCATCCATACACAAGTACTAAATGCTAATGACATAAGAGAAGCAATACCGTCGAGAAATTCTCTAAAACCGAATAAATTTCTTGCACCGCAATTTTTATAGTGCAAAAGAGAAGTAATTTCCAACATGATTGATGAATTAGGGGCACAAATGCACCTCAAAAATATTCCTGTCTACCCATACCTATAAAGGACTTCTAGAGAGCCAACGATGGACCATTGCTAGACATTCTTTAGGCTTATACCTTGATGCTGTATGTCCAGCACCCTGCCAAATAAAAACATGCACTTTTATTTTTTTTTCTCAAAAATCATTGTAAGAAATGAGACATTCAAACTTTTCTTGCCTTGACTGTTGCAAATGTAAGTTCAAAGTCATTCTTCTTGTACTTCTCTGTGTATCTACAAGGGGTAAAGTGGGTTGCAATTTTGAGAATAATACCAAGAAATATATATATAATAAATCATCAAGAACAAGAAACAAACCCCGCAACTTGGCCATTAACAAGCCAAGGTCTCCAATCGTCATCAATAGTCAGATTGAGAATACGAATCCATTTTAAAGGACCCAAATATGGTGCAGCCATGTCATGATCACCACTGGAAGGAAAATAAGCATAATTAGACGACATATACCAAATTAAAATTTTGGTATAGTTACATTTTTTTGTTTAATTCTCTTCAAAAATTTTATTCCAACATATATATTTTGTTGATCGATTAGATTAAATTTTGAACAAATTAAGTCACGATTTCTATTTAAGACAGAAACTTACTTGAATACCAAAACATGGTATCCTTTCTTGATCAAAATTTTATGATATGGAAGAGCACTTTCTACATTTTGTTCATATGATATTCCATCATTGCAAGTTTGCCACCTTGTTATCGTTCCCTGGTTTGGTGATCAAATAACAAGGTTACTACAAATATTTTGATTATATATATACTGTTTTTGCTGACAACTAGCACATGGTAACACGTACTAAATCTTTAATCATTTTCAATTAGACGTACCTTTCTAATAGAAAGAGCTTCTTGAACAATCGGATCATTTGCCCAATCATCAGATATTGCACTATCTTGATTCTATACAAAAGAAGCCCGTTTGTGAGAAACTGAGCATGCACGGCTAAGATAAAAATGAAAAAGTTACCTTAAGTTTCTTTTCTACGAAAAATAGATTTTTAAAGTTCTTTCTTCAATGACAAAGTAAGTCTTGACTTGATTTGTAAAAAATAAATTTGTGTACAGATATATACGTAGAGGATTAATTAAATTACATGACACTCTTGTTCTGCCGTTGGGAGGACGAGATGGTCAATTGAATAGCCTTTCGAAAATGTTTGATCCCATCCAAAATCTTCTAGTTTTGATGCTCTGTTTCCACATATTGGATCCAAAATCTGAACTTGGTTTATATGACTTAAACACTGCAATATTTAATGTTTAGAACCATAATAAATGTTAAAGGAAATGAAAAATAAAATAAAATAAAATAAGATGCAAAATGTTACCTTTCGGATTTGTTGAAGGGCATCTGCACAATGTATATTATTTGGATCACGATTGTAATACTTTCCAGCACAACTACTTTTTGCTAACTGAGATTGTGTCAAGTAATTAAATGGGAATAAGATGCAATATGGAGCATTTTTATCATCAAAATAACTGAATAAAAAAGATTACCTCAAAATATTCATCGGATATAAGTGCCATATGATGAGCATACGGAATTCGTGCATTAAAATCAATGTTCGAATCCGTTAGTCCATTGCCAATAATGTATCCCTGTTTCAATTTCAAAAGTACTCGACTATTAACATAAAATATGTGTTTATAATTTTGGCTAATAAATAAGAAGAAATTCATATATTTGTGTCAGCTAATCAATACTTGGAAAGACATTTGTGGCTGAAGTCTTGCTTCGTTTCCTGCATTATAATCATGACTAACAACTTAATCAAGCTTGATAGGTGGATAAAAAAAATTGAAATAGAATCTTGTAAGTTTCGTATATACTACCTCGTAATATTTCCATGGCAACCATGGGAACAAGTTTGCCTCCATAGGATTCACCCGCAATATAAAGACGATTTTTGATAAACATAGGATGATTCAATAACCACTGCATTGCATTATTATCATTATATTGTTATCTCTCTAACCCAAAAAAATGGGGAAGTGCATATAGGTGTGAATGTGTAAGGACTACTAGTAAGTTCCAGACAAAATTTCATTCTATTGCCTCAATTTTCACCTAAGAATAAAATATCTATGATAAGTAATAGAAACCCACCTTCCTAAGAAATGTGAAAATGTCTTTTGCTGATTTGATGTCCGAGGAGGAGTAACCTTGTGAAGTGTTTGCATATGAAAATCCGGTACCAACGGGCGCATCTATGAATATAATATTCGCAGCCTGGAAATTAATAATCATATTATATATAAGTATAAAGTTATGGAAGACATACATTTTTGACTTGAAAAATGCATGTAAAAAGTGATTTTTCTACCTTGGTCCATGAATATGGATTTAGGATAATAGATGGTAAGCTTCCATCAAAATTTTCAACATCAAAAGTACATGGACCTGTACACAAGCTCACCAATTGTTGTGAGAATAATAGAAGCTATATTTTTTAATATACTATGAGGTATCAAAAAAATAATATTCAGTTTTAAAGGGCTAAAAAAAAAAAAAAGAAACCAAGGTTAAAAATATAACTTTTACAAGTAAATTAAAGACAAATACACAAAGGGGTAAAATTGTAAAAGTGAGTGGGATTATGGAAAATTTCTCTTTTCAATATCTACTTGAGACAAACATAACCCAGATCCCAAATCGGTATGCAAAAGTTCGATCTTTTGCACCCATCAAGGCCAGTCATGGATTCGCACTTCATAGATGCTGAATCCAATCGTCGTAGCTTAAATGCCATTGAGAATGATATGCGTCCACAAATGTGTTTAAATGCATATCAATTTCAAAACTAAGTATTCAGAATTTCTAAAAATTCCACTATTCCTTTCTCAAGTTTTTGTTATGCTGTACTCAAATTGGGTAAAATGTTGATTAGTCTACGAAAGCTATTTGCAAGGAGTCCTCAAAAAACCTCATAAACTAATAGGGAGTAAAATATCACTTTTAGGACGTTAAACAAGTTCAACCCTCCATTTTGGTCCTTGTTCTTGGATTCATGCTTCAATTTGTTTTTGTTTTTTCCATCTCATACTACACTTTCAAGATTTTCCAAAATTCACATATATTTACGGGAAGAGATTACCGATATCATAAACGACGCCAAATAAACCCGAGCAACCAGGTCCACCAGTCAGCCAAAGCAAAAGAGGGTCCGTGCTAGGATTGTTTTCGGACTCAATGAAATAGTAGAATAGTTGTACTTCATCATTTTTCCCCACACCAATATATCTATCAATCATTTCAGACATGAAAACAAAGTTATAATCAACCGTCTAGCACTATGTACAAAAAAATAAAAAATAAAAAAAGGAAGAATGAAGGAACTAACCCGGTTTCAAGTTTGAATGGAAGAGTACCCGAATAGCCCGGAAGAGTCTTGATTATCGCTTGTGATGCTCCATTATTGAAGAGTAGTAGAAGAAGAAGCCCATGCAACCCTACCCAATTCATTATAATCAACACCAAGAAGTTTAACTGCTGAATAATGTATTTAGCCTGCCAACCTGTATTATGAATTTATAGAGGACAGAGAGTAGACCCGAATCATTTAATAATCAAATGGTAGTTGACATTACATCTAAATTCTGCGGGCCGACGTAGCTTTATCCACTAATCTGAAGATTATAACGTAATTTTATAATTAACTTCATTATAAACTTCCAACGTCGGAGCAGCACACAATCTTGTTTTTCAAAGTTTGGATAATTTGCGTGGAGCTTACGGGTCTTCTTCCACCAATTAATTGTATAATAGCAAAGGTGACAATATGGTTGATATTTTGAGATAAAATTTCAAGTTTTAATAATATCAGGGTCCATAATTAAATTAAGACGAGCCGTCTGATCATATTAAAATTCAAACAAACATATGATATTTGATATTGATCTGTTTAAACGAGCCACCATCTTATTAGGTATAAGTGTTTGTTTGAGAATTTGAAGTGAAAAATGATTATTTATTTATTTATTATTATTATTGAGAATTTGGTTATGCTGGTTTCAATAAATATAATAATTCTGTCCTGTTTGACTTTTCAACCTTTGCAATAACTGTTTTTTTTTTGATAAAAAACCTTGAATTTCCCTCCTTAATCAGTGGGGCCCACACTAATCAGTGTGGGCTGTACAATGTACAGTGACTGTACATGCAGCAGAATTCAAAAACCTTTGCAAAGGATTCCTAGCCACAACAATTGAAATGAACTTGGTTTTCGACGTGGCCTAAACCTTCAACGTTGGAGCATCGCACAATCTTGTTTTTCAAAGTTTAAATAATTTACGGGTCTACTTCCACGAATTAATATAATAGAAAATGTGACAATAAGGTTGATATTTTGACATAAAATTTCAAGTTTTTATAATGTTAAGGTCCATAATTAAATTAAGATGAGCTGTCCGATCAAATTAAAATGGATCATTCTTGTGGTACATTAAGGAGTACATCAAAGTGTCCATTATTGATACCTTGATGTACATGGTGATGTATATCAAGAATTATCCAATTAAAATTCAAACGAACGTACGAAATTCGCTATAAATGTTTGTTTGAGAATTTGGAGTGAAAAATGGTTTTCTTTTTTTTAAGAATTTGGCTCGTTGGTTTCAATAATTAAACCTGTTTGACTTTTCAACACTCGGTTTCTTGTCGTGGTAATGTTTCCTGCGATACAAAATTATTGAGATATTTTTAGTTCACATCAACTTTTTCTTTCCTAGGAAGTATGAATTTAGGCCGGAAGTACTTTTAAAACTTCAATTGCGTACACAATTGATTCCCAGTCATTTTCACCACAGTTGAGATGAACTTGGTTTTCCACGTGCTTTGCTATTCTATTTCATCATTTGTGTGGATGAAAGCTTTTAACAAGTTTGTGCTTTTGTATTTAATGTAATATTCTATACAAATTCTAAGCGCCACCTTTTTTATCTCATTAAAATAAAAAATATGGTCGTTATTCATCACATCATCTCTTTTGTGAATCCCAATAACGACTATATTTTTTCATTTTCATTCTACAATAAGGTGACTCAAACAAGGCCTAAATCATGTTTTGGAAACTGGAATTAAAAAAAAAAAAATTCCCTTGTTTTCCACGGTCGTCGGCAACTAACCAAATCACATTTAATATATATATATATATATATAATTTCGTGTTTTACTGCATGAATTTTGACATTTAACTGAGCAAATAGTTTTTTCCTTTGTATTTGTGATAGAAAAATGAGACTTGTTGTCAGGGATAAATTGAAATAATACAATGAAAACTGACAGAAATTTCTTGTGTTTTTGTCAAAAAAGGGAGGTGGGTGGACTTTGTATTCTAATTCTCAAAACTAGCCAATCACCATACCATCCAAGAATTCAAGGACGGGCAATGGATTATTCCAATTTGGTTGTTAAAAGATAGGGAAACTCTTCTTGGCCCGGCTCAATGCCAGTCCCAAAAATAGGAAGCCCATGTGGCGCCCCCCTATTGGAGGGGGAGCTGACTTCATACAATTACTATTCCTTATTAAATGTGATTTGGTTAGTTGCCGACGACCGTGGAAAATGGAGAATCACTTCAATAATCTAAAATTTAATTACAAGAATTTTCTTCCATCCCCATTCAAAAACCATGATAAAAATTGAGTAAAATAAATTAGACTCGAGAAAAAAAAGGCTGTTCTTGGGTTTGACAGTTTCAGCTCAGGCATTTGTGTATCAAGAAAATAATAATAATTCAGTTTCCAGAACATGATTTAGAATTTTACATTCAATACAAAAGCACTAACTCGTTAAAAGCTTTCGTCCGCACAAAAATATTTTTTCTCTGTGTGGACGTGAACAATTCCGTGGAATAATGAAATAGAATAGTAAAGCACGTGGAAAACCATCTTCATTTCAATTGCGGGAATAAATTGTTTACGGAATTGGAAGTTTTAAAACTGCTTCCAACCTAAATTTAATGCACCGAAAATTGCTATTATACAATTAATTACTAGAAGTAGAGCCGTGAGATCCACGCAACTTTTCTAAACTTCGGAAAACAAGATTTCGTGCTGTTGGAAGTTTAGGGCACCATAATTGGGTTTATAATGAAGTTAATTATAATCTTCAGATTAGCGAATTAAGCTACGTGGGCCCACATATTTTTGATGTAATATCAATTACCATTTGATTGTTAAGTGATTCAGGTCTACTTTCTGTCCCTTACAAATTCATAATGCAGGTTGACAGACTAAATACATTATATAGCAGTTAAATTTCTTGGTGTTGGATACAATGAATTGGATAGGGTTGTATGGAATTCTTCTTCTACTACAACTCTTCAACAATGGAGCATCACAGGTGATAATCAAGACTCTTCTTGGGTACTCATTCCATTCAAACTCGAAACCGGGTTAGTTCCTTCATTCTTTGTTTTCGTTTTTGTACATCTAGATAGTTGGCAAGATTTTAACTTTGTTTTCGTATAAAATGATTGATAGATACATTGGCGTGGGAGAAAATGAGGTAGTACAACTATTCTACTATTTCATTGAGTCCAAAAATAATCATAACACATACCCTCTTTTGCTTTGGATGACTGGTGGATCTGATTGCTCTGGTTTATTTGGTGTCATTTATGATATTAGTAATTTTTTCCCATAAATATAAGTGATTTTTTGGAAAATCTTGAACGAGTAGGATATGGAAAAAATGTTGGAACTTTTAATGAAACTTAAACTTTATAAACTTGCAAAGATCTTCATGTCATACCATCAAGAAACTAAATTAATGAACACACATTGATCCATTGATTTCTGACTTGAATAATGAATCTTGAATCTTGATATTTAAATCTTCAATTTGGTTGCTTCAAACCTCCTTCTAGATTCCTGATTGTGGTTTTATGGATCTTCCTCTTCAATGTGATTTCTCTTGTATTCTTGTATTGATGGAATGACACGAAGAATGAAAAAATCGTATATGAATTGGGGACCATAACCCTTTATATATTTCCATATGTATTCGGCTCATCGTCAAATACAAACCCTAATGGATCCGGTCTCTACACATATAGTCCGGCCCACACTTTATTTAAATGTCCAAAGCTCAATTATTTAATTCTTTATTAGACCACTTTAGTTTTGCGCTTAACTTTAAGATAGCATTTATACACAGTTAATTACACATGGCGGCCCACATGACAAATTAAATAATTTCCCAACAATCTCCCACTGGGCCACATATGTTACCGTATTAAAAATTAAATCTACCTAAAAAAAAAAAGTAAGGCATTATTGAAATAATTGAATTGTAATAGGGTTAGAATCGTCCAAAAAATTAAGTACTAAGAAAGGTTAACGCTTCAGTTAATAGCAATAAATGATAGTTCGAGTGTTAGAAAAAAAAACTTTGATGAATATGATAATTAGAAATTTGATTCAATCAATCAAAGTTTTTCTATAAGAAGAACGTAGAATAAATAAATGTAGCGCAGTTTCAAAAATCTTCTCTAAATATATCTCTATTTTAATAAATGATTATTATAAATTAAGTACAATAGATAAATGAGAAATTTTGATGAATACAATGATTTTACAAATTTGTTTCAACCAATCAAAGTTTTCAATATGAAAAAGTACAAAAAACATATGCAATGTAAGTTCAAAGAATTTTTTTCAAATTATATCTCTCTTTTATAAATAATGGAAATAAGTTAAGTACAAAATGAGAGATAACAAAAACTTTGATGATGATGATGATGATTAAAGAGTTTGAATCAATTAAAATTTTTGATACGAAGAAATAAATGAAATGAATGCAAAGGATAGCTCAAAGAATTCTCTGAAAAAATATCTCACTTTAATACTCTTAAAAGTTATGAAGAATGGAAGAGTAAGGATGTTTATAGAGTTCAAAACGTCAAAAAATCTGTGAGTTCGAATAACATGTCTGGTCGACCGCCTCTTACCCGAATGACCAATATAGTCGCATGTATAGTAAAAATCAGAGGTCGGCACGGTCAAACTTTGAATTGTTGAAAATTTTCGATTGACCGCCTCTTCGATTAAAACTTTAGTACATTTTGATTATTTAGTCATTTTGATAATATTGATTATTAATTAGCAGAACGTATAAATTTTTAACCATTTTTGTTACAAAAAACAACAACAAATTAAGATTCGCCAATGGAAAATCTATTTGTGAAAAGTAATTTTTATTATCTACAGAATTTTCATAGGTATTAACGAAATACAATTTCACTTATGGTAATTATCAACGAAATATGTGTATGTAATGATGACACTTGTACTCATGGATCATTCCTAAGTAATGATGATACTTTCACCAACGGATATTCAATTGGTAATGACTATTTTTACCAATGAAATTTCCGTACATAATGATAAGTCTTTTACCTACAGAAAGTCCTTTAACACTTTTACCTACCTAATGATAATGCTTTCCATCGGTGACTATCA